ATCAAAAACTATTTTTCAATTGTCAAATATTCCGTAGTATATCAGCAAATTATAAATAACATAATGAAAACCACTCTTTCACGGGACCTTTGATCTCAAAAACAATATCAATTGTCATGGTTTCTGGTTTACATAATCAACGTGATGGGTAGCAGGGGGGGGGGGGGGGGGGGGGGGGGACCTAAAATATGCATATCAATGAAAAGTAATTATTAATTGCAAATAAATATGATCTTCTCCGATAATAATGCCACAATTACAGGTGGGGCCGACATTCATGAAGTGTGGAACCACAGCCAACCCTAAGGATCGACGTGGAGCTAAAAGAGCCTCAGCTTACGTAGATGTGTTGTGTGGTCACCAACCTTTTTGTCTCATTTAATTTCCATTAATACTTTAATTGGCATCGCAATGTAGTTAATTAGTGATATATGATCATTAGCTAAGTACTCAGGTATCATATTATAAAAATAAATATCACTGTAATAAAACATGATTGGCTTGCAGGTATCATATTATAAATATAAATATCATTGTTATAATACATGATTGGCTATTTAGATAGGTGAACTCAAAACCTAAACTAGTTTAGATTAAAAATCTAAATTGATTAACAACTTATAAAACAAAATAATTTTTTTTTAAAAAAATAGTCAAAATAATATTGTTTTGATTATATTTAAAAAAAATTTGAATTAATATTTTTCATTTATTACCTTGACCTTCACCTAAATTAACCTTTTATTTGGGTTTTAAGATTAATAATGTTAGATAGTTTTTGGAATAATAACTATTATTTTTTATCATTTGAATGATAGTACCCACACATGAAATTATATTAGAATAACAACAATCCTTTATATTATATAGGTTTCAGGTTGTGTATGATAATAATAATAGAATACATTACACAAAACATGTATATGATAACTACATCCTTTTCATAATATAACCTTTCAAGCCAAAGGGCAAGATTTTGCTCAAAGCTTGAAACAAAAATAAGTAAAAAAGGTATGAAGTAGAGATTTGGTAAAATATTAGTTAATTGATCCTTTAAAAAGATAAAACAAATTTAAATATTTTTCTTAACAACTCTTTTATAAATAAATTAATAATTAATCTCAACATGTTTAGCACAAACATGAATAATATAATTAACAAATAAAAAATAGTTCTTAAATGATCACACCACAAAGTAGTCATAAAAAGATAGCAATTCTAATTTGAATGATAGTACACACACATGAAATTCTTAAACTTGAGTTACTTGAATAAAATTTAATTTTATTAGTTAGAGTTAGAGTTAGATGAGAAATATAATTGTATAAATAATAATTGACGTTTATTAGAATAACAACAATCCTTTATATTATATAGGTCGTGTATGATAGTAATAATAGAATACATTACACAAAACATGTATATGATAACTACATCCTTTTCATAATATAACCTTTCAAGCCAAAGGGCAAGATTTTGCTCAAAGCTTGAAACAAAAATAAGTAAAAAAGGTATGAAGTAGAGATTTGGTAAAATATTAGTTAATTGATCCTTTAAAAAGATAAAACAAATTTAAATATTTTTCTTAACAACTCTTTTATAAATAAATTAATAATTAACCTCAACATGTTTAGCACAAATATGAACAACATAATTAACAAATAAAAAATAGTTTTTAAATTATCACACCACAAAGTAGTCATAGAAGAATAACAATTCCGATAATAAAGATCAAATCTATAAAATTTCAA